GGTATGTGGAATGAAGTGGGCGGGCATCGGGAGGCCACTATGGCACGGGGCAAGCACTATGGGCAGTCTATCTGAAGTGTACCTGGCGTATAAGACAACCCCCCACTTGGAGGCATATTTTTCAGGGCCAAAAAATCATCTTATACGCCGGCAAATACGGTATCTCTATCAAGGCTAGAGATTCTGTGTCCAATAGGGAAGAATGTTCTCAAACAAAGAAAATGTCATCACAGATGGTGAAAAATGTCAGCCATTTGGTTAGAAAACAGCACAGTGGCCACTTAGGAAATATAAAGACTTTTGGAGATGGACAGGCCCGTTTCAGCATGGTTTTAGTGCAAACACCACCCTTGCTCATAGATGGCCTTGGGTAAACAATACCACTTACTCTGCACCCGGAGTCGCTTTAGGAGAAGCCATCCTCTCATTAGTCAGTGATGTTCTGCAAACCGGCACATGTGGGAACCCAGGGCAGTGCCCGGAGCAGGTGCAGTCGGCTCTTCTGCCCCAGGCCCGGAGCTCTTCTCCGCAGGCCATGGGCCTCGGCCTGCAGAGTTATCACAGGCTACGAGAGCAAACTCTGATCATTCTTTACCCCTGCTTTTTCCTGCTGCAGATGTCAATTGGAGCCATGGACACTCTGGAGAAAGACCAAGCCACGGGCATTTGCCACTTTTTTTACGACAGTGCTCCGAGTGGGGCTTATGGGACAATGACCTACCTAACGAAGGCAGTGGCTTCTCATTTGCAGGATTTGCTGCCCAATTCAGGCTGCCAGATGCAATAGGGCCTCAGCGCTCTCTGAGTCTGTCACTTGCCCTGTAGCCTCATTGGAAACTTTCTTCTGTTCCCCAAGATCCCCTGTGCTGTCACAAAAGCATGTCCCATCAGAAACACTGGCAAGGAAGAGAGGGCAGTGACTGACCTGAAACCAGTGTGTGTCCAAGCCACAGAAAGCCAAGGAGCCCTGTGCTCCCCCAAGGAGCGGCATGGGATCATTGACTAGGTTCATTTTGCTGGAACATTTGTCAGCATCTGGTCTCCTGGAGCCTGAGGAGGAAGGAGAAACTGGTGTCTTTTGAGTGCAGAGTGAACTGAGAAGCAGCCTAAATTGGCTCTCACAGAGAGCTACCGAAATAGGTTTGATGAGCGAGTGCACATCTTAAAGATCCTTCCAGCAGCAGTAGCTAGACAAGCAGACCTTGACCAGGGGAACATCTTAACAGGATGCAGTCTGTCTGTGGACCAAACTGTTTACCAAATAGAATAACTCCCTTTCTGTGGAAGTTTGGTTTTCTTGTGCCTTGCTTTTTTCGTGGTCTCTTGTTGTTTTATTGGCATGGCTACCTTCGTGTGACATAATTCTCTCTCACCAAGATGTTGAAAATTGCTCCTAGTTAACTTTGGCTCATGGTCTTCAAAGATTTTATCCTGGCCGCCCATAAATAATGGGTTTCTCCTGCCTTCTGAAAAATCCTACATCTTCCAGAAAGTAGCAAAACAAAAAACAATGGCGGGGAGGATCAAACTCATCTTGTAGCTGGGCCGACTGTTGTTTTCGGGCTGGAGCAGGTAGGGATTCCCTCTGGAAGGCCTGTGTCCCCCACCCCAACCCCGCATGGGGTGACCGCCCTGGCAGGAGAGTGAGCAGTACCTACCCCGAGCTCCAGGGGACCCATGTGATGGGTATGCAGCACCAGATGCCATGGAAATTGGTGGTGTGCTCCCGTAAAAACAGTGCTTCTTCTGATAGAGCCAGCCTGGAGACGCATCCCTTATGGAAGCACTGCCATCTTGATGCTCTCAGGTAGGTGTAGTTGGAGGCCTTGGCTATCGAGGAGCAAGGACAAATCCTGACAGGACAGGGCCTCGCCAGCCTTTTGCCAATATCCTGGTGGGTGGAGTTTCTCTCAGGCCTTGTCTTCCTGGGGGAGTAGGGGGGGTGGGGCCGGTGAACCATTGTTGTTCTGGAAAACCTGCTAGCTACATGGCGAGCTCTGGCTGGTTAAGAGTGATGGGTTAGATTTGTGACAACTCTGCCTCTGAAATGGGAACATGGCCACTGGATCTTTGCTTGGAAGTTTATGTGAAGGTGGAGAAAGCTGATGCTCTAGCTGCTCTTAGGGGACATTGCTGTGCCCGGCGCCCCTCAGAGATGCAGTACTTGCGGTTATTCTGGAAACAGAGGGAAGGTAGGATGGCCTTGCATTCCTGCTGCTTCCTGCTAAGGGGACTTGGTGCAGTCCAAGCCAAGTACTCTGCAGTTGCCCCTGGGAGAGACAATCAGGAACACGAGGTTCGGCGTCCTTACCTGGGCTTGGTGGCATGCAGGCACTGTTCTCCTGGAACGTCAATGCCTTTGCTTCCTATTTCTTCGAAACCACAGTACTTTCCTGGCTGAGGTACAGACTAGTTATGTAGAGGGAAAGGTCCTGGAATCTCAGCTGGTGCTCCAGGGGACGTCTGCATGCCCCGTCTCCTCCTTCCCTCACCCCTCTTCCCCCTCCCCATTAATGCTGGTATATAAAACCTTTCTCCTCAGATTACTAGATCCTTCCTTCATGTGTCACCACGTGTTGAGAAAGCATTCTCTGTGCCAGGTGTGGGAATACAAAGATAAATGAGATGGGACTTGGCACTCAAGGACCTCGTCCCAATGAGGAAAGCCACGCTTTAGGGTGGCGGGGGTGGTGTTAGAGAGCCAGACAAGGTGCAGGACCGGGAAAGGTGGGGCCTGCCCAGGGCACTGGCACTGGTGGGGCAGTTCCCAGTGATAGTGGGGGCACCATGCCCCGAAGCCTCCATGGTCATGCCCCATCTTCCCTGGGAAGTCTGCTCCCACTGGCCTCTGAGGGTCCAAGGGGAGTCACAGCCACCCGGGTTTCATAGTAGTAGCATTCTCATAGCCTTTATTTTTGGTGTCCTTAAGACATGCTTGTCATAAGCGAGACTCCCTGGTGGATCACTTCAGACACAGGTGATGTAGGAAAGGCTCAAGCTGTGAAAGTCCCACTTGCTTTTTGGGAGAAGAGTTACAACCCTCCTAAACGAGCCAGGTGCTAGTTGAGAACAATCCCCTGCCCGTGGATGACGCGCGAAGCCACAGATGCTATGTTTGGGCTCACCAACCAAAGCAGGCCGGGAGAAGAGCCATAATAAGCAATTCAACCGAGCCTTCGATTCACTCTTTTGAAACCTCTTTCAAATGAAACCCTGAAATAGTACTGCATTTCCACAGGCTTCAAGCTGTCAGCTTCAAAGAAGGAGAACAGGCTTCTGAGGTTTGATCCCTTTCGTGAGCAGCTGAGGCCCACGCGGGAAAGAGGAACAGATGTTGGAGGGGGGTGGTAGAGGCCGTGTCCTGACCATCCTGGCCTCTTCGGGGTGGGTTTTCTGCTGAGGAGAAAGAGGGGGCACTGGGTGACCTTTGCTGGGGCTGGAGGCAGCATGTTCTGTCCGAGAGCCAGAAACAAACATTTCTTTTAACATCCTCTGTTGAAAAGCACCCGGCCACCCCACCCACTGCTCACCCTGGCTTTGACCCAGGTGAATCCAGCAGCAAAGAGTAAGATTCTGTCTCTGAGCCCGACTAGCCTTCCATCCCAGCTCTGACCTGGGCGAGTTATTTAGCCTCTGTGTGCCTCAGTTTGCCCACCTGGAAAATGTGCAAGAGGCCTACGGACTGGCATGGGAGTAAGCGCCAGGGAGTCATAGGAACCGCGCCCCCCCAGCTCCTCCACCTCTGGCAGGTGGGGGCCAGGGGCTTCCTGTTACCCGAGGGCAACTCAGGCCGAGTTCTTCCAGCCATGCCACTGCCTCCTGAGGTGGGCGTCTGTCAGGAGGTCAGCTTCGGCAACTCTTGTGAGGCACGGTGAATGGAAGGAGAAACTTATGCGTTAGCTGCCTGGATAGAGAGGATGTAAATGCCCCCTGTGTAAAAGAAAAAGAAAAAAGGCCAGAAGATCAGGACACAAGAGAAACAGTTTGTCAGTTGATTGATGCCATTTATTTCTGGACCAGAAGACAAGAGGCTCGACCTCCCTTGATGTAAGTTAGAGCAGAACCATCTCTCAGTCCTGTTCACTTGCGTATAAGTGTGGCAAATAGCTTTTGTCTTCTCTGCTTCCTTGTCAGAGGGTACAAAAGCCTCCCACCCCTCCCTTGGCGCCATTATCTTTCAAGGTGACTCATGCTTTTAAAGTCCCTGCCATCTGTTCTGTGTGTCTCTGCACTTTGCATGGTCCCAGAATGCCTTCTGTTCTCTGGGACTTGGCTGCTAATAGCTCTGCTTGTGAGGGGACAGTAAAGCCACTGTCACCCTCTTAGAGCCCCCTTGTCCTCAGAAAGCCATTTGGAAAAAGCCATGTCCTTGAGTTACCAATAAGTTCTCTGAGAAAGAAGACCTGAACCGGTAAGAGACTATTCTTGAGCCTAATGCACGGAGTATGTGACTGATGGTCTGGAAGAGGGAAAAATTTCATCAGAAAACATTTGTGAGTGTGTGTGTGTTTAAGGAACATATGTGCAATTTTGGCAAAAATGCCTTCTTAGAAGGATGGGAATAATCGGAACCAATGAACTCTGAAGGCATGTGATTTATCCCTCTGCCTGATTGCAATATGTCATCTATTCTGAAAAATGAATTGCTCAGAAAGCATTTATTGTGCATTCATTGCTCAGCACGCAGAAATATGGAGTAGTGTGGTGGGAGATGAAAAAATGTCTCTTTTGTTTGTGAAGACCTCTAAGGAAGGCCACTTCCCAGCCTCCTGTGGATGCATTCCTAGCACTGGTCTGCCAGGGCACCCACGCCTCAAATCTAAATCCTGAGCAGCTTTGGCCCATTGCTCGGCGGGGTGGCTGCCAGACACGTCCACCTCCAGGTGGTGCAGCGGAAGCGCCAGGCTTTGCAAAGGGCACGGCTTTGGGTTGTCCGCATGGGAACAAGCTGCATCTGAATCGGGCACAGGGCAGTGATGATGCCTTCCACGTCTCCTTTGTTGAAAGAGCTTTCAAGATACAAACCCAGCATAGACATGCCGAGCAGAAATCACAGTCATTGGCTCTAATCTTTCATGACTTTGGTGTCACCCTTTGCCACTGTATCACAGTTATTTGCAAGTAACAGAAAGCAACTCTGGCTGCGTAGGAAATATGTTTCATAAAGGATATTAGATAAATCACATGGTCACCAAGCTTGGCTGCTCCCCAGGCAGGAACAAGGCCCCCGTGTCACTCCCAGGTATCCACAGGCCCACACCCTGGGGCTCACACCACAGGTGCCCCCAAGCTGGTCACTGTCACTGGGATCATCGCCTGTGCTCTTTTGGAAACTAAATATAGCGGCTGCCACCTGTCACCAGAATGGATTTCACACAGCTGCTAGCTGTCAAGTCAGTCCCTGGCAGGTGTGTTGCATCAGCTGGGGGGAGGGGCGGGTTGTGAGCTGAGAGAGAGGTTGGAAAAGCCAGTATCTGCCGGCTTTCCTTCTAAAGTGGAGGCAGGGTTGGCTTCATAATGTGGGGGATCCCCCAGACCCAGGAAGGGAGCTTGGATGCCAAGCACCCCAAACTAAGTGTCCCCTACAGCCAGGACTCTTGGCTTTTATTCCTTTGTTCAGAAAAGAAGGACCTGTGCCCCCAGCCCCAGTCTGTCCTGAGAACTGACCTAAGAAGCATGTGTGCCTTTGGGGAAGGTTGTGCAGCGGGACTGCCAGGGGCGTGCAAGGGACTGCCAGGGGTGTGCAGGTTATCCCACGGCTCCCTCCGTGCTCAGCTAGGACAAGCGCAGGTTCTCCCTTTGGGTAGAAATGTTACTCAGTCGTCATGGTTGGATGGCTGCTGCTGCCCCGACCGCCAAGCACACCACCTCCCAGCGCACAGCTTCCAAGGAGCTGTCACAACCCTCAAGCCAGAGCCCTGGAGGAATTGCCACGGGGCCTCGCAGTTTTTCCTGACCACCACCAGCCCAGCCCCACTAGCCTTCTTCTGGACCCTGAGTGACAACCCGTCTGGGACAAGACGCAAATGATTGTCGCATCTTTCCTTCTAAGTCTTTAGCCAGCTGGGGGATTTAAAAATAAAGAATTGGAACTGCTTCGAGGTGTAAGCCTCTCTCCTGACAGTGTGGATCATTTCCCCCAGCTGTCACCCAGGATTGGTCCCTGCGTTCCCGCAGACATCCAAGTCGTTCTCCTTGGGCTCGAGGGAGCATAGCCATCAAGGCAAGTCGGCCTCTCTCTGCCTGTCCCCTCCCTCTCCGGCTCCCTCTGTGGCAGCAGCGTGAGCACCTGCCGCAGTTCCCTCTCCCTCCTTAACCACAGAGCTCTGGAGCTACAATGACCCGGGAGGCTCCAAGGCGGCTTTGTGAGGCCCTTGCACTGCCAGCCGGGGAAGCAGCTCTTGGTGCCGGGAAATGAAATGGCGAAGTGGGCCTTTGCCATGAAGCATCGGAGCTGGCACTGACCTCACAGCCCAAACCTCCTGCAGTCTCTGGGGTTTTCATCCCCCAAAGCAGTGAGCTAACATGTGCTGCAGTGATCACACACACACACACACACACACACACACACCATATGTTTTGTCCCTGGTCTCCTGATTGAGATTGGAGATAGCTTTTGCGCTGTCAGCACACATTTCTGTGGTTGGTGCTATGCTTGGCAGGCTGCAGTGTAGACGGCTCCAGGCCTAGTAGGGGAAGAGACAAACTAAGCAAGTCTAAAAGGGAGAGAGGGGTCAAATCAGAGCCCAGAACTGGAGAACTGCTCACTCTGAGCACAGGGCCAGCCGAGGCTGGAACCCGGGGAGGGGTGTCAGAGATGCCATAGCAGAGCCTCTTGTCCCTCGATGCCAGGCACCACTCCTCCACCAGGACCAGCCCTGTGTTCTCAAAGATGCAAGAGGGAAGAAAGAGAAGGCCACACTGGCACTGCTCTGGAAGGATTTGCACAGGAGTATGTTGACTCCTGCAAACCCTCCCCTGGGGGTGATGGGCCCCCCAGTCCACACAGGTCAAGGATGAGTAAAATAATCACCTGCAAAACTGGGCCTTGGGCTAAGAGCTTCTCAAGAACGTGATTCATCAGTACTGGACTTTTATCTTACAGATGTCAAAGCACCATGCTGCGGTTGGGGGTGGATACAACAGCTGGGTGACCCCAAGGCCATCTCCAGGTCTCCCTGTAGCTTGGCCCAGGAGGCTGAGAAACCAACCCCTGACTCCTCCTCCCTTTTCTGCCCAGACAATAAGCAAACAAGCAATTAAATGCATAATATGTCGGGATGACAAGAGCCCTGCACAGGACAGGAATGATAAAGAGAGGGCAAAGAGGCCTAGGGGTGATGGGGGCTGTCATATTTAGCTTGAGAAGATCTCTGATAAGGCAGGATTTGGTCAGACACTTGGAAACAGTGGGGTCCTGAGCCAGGCAATACCTAGGGTAACAGCATGCCAGGCAGAGGGAACAGCCAGTGCAAAGGACCTGAGACAGGAGAGCACTTAATATGTTTGCAGAACAGGAAGGAGTTCAGAGGGCAGAAGTGGA